CCTCCAAATCATGCGCGAAGTCCTAAAAAACTTTGAAACCTCACCAATAGGGCCCATTCGGTGGAAGTGGGCGGGACTGGTGGAGTTTTGAAGCGCTTTCACACGACTTAGCGCATAAATTGGAGGGTGAGGTAGGGGCTACGTTGTATTTGGGAGCCCTACCCTAAAACTACCAAAATCTGACAGGGGTCCATTTTGCTGATTCATTGTTTGACTATCGATTGTAACCGAATGTTGATGCGTTCTGTTTAGTTCGAAGTCCTTCCATGGCGCCGAGGGAGTACCAAACTACCAGATCTACGCCACCGACTACTGTCCCGATGTCCCACCGCAGCAAATCCGAACCGCCGTTCCCAATCCCGACTACTATCGAATGTTCAACTCTTGGTTTGCCTATAGTGGAGAAGGAGTCGGCCCGCCACCATTCGTCAAGGTAAGTTAAAAAAGTCATTGAATGTTTTGCAAACTGCTAATGCTAATTGTTCCAGACCGCATACGGAAGTCCCTTACGAGTCGCCCCCGATATGGTTGGACGGGTACCACCGAACGTCCCCGGTGCACCCCGTAACGCGCAATATGCCAAGCAGTCCAGACATGCACCTGCGGAACCATCACAACTTTATCACCGATATCAATACTAAGTGAGTGTGTTATCCGCTTATTAGGGCGCATTTTGAATGCAGCGTTCACCCAAAAAAGATGAGTGACATTTTGATGCAGTACAGTAGCGAGGCCCCTAACTATGTAATAGCTCAAGTCCACCTGCATAATCTGTATTCGAGAGTGAGAAAATCGCTTTAGAAAGTGGTTGCCGTTGGGGTCGCCACGCCCATCAACTTGAGTGGTCTAAAGCAATGAGCTCAAACTGCAATCCAGTGTACTTAAAAAGTTAAAAATTTCGTTACAATGAAGAGCATTTTCGAAAATGTTAGGTAGAGCTAGTTCCGGGCTCATTACCTCAGGCCACCCATTTGATGGGCGTGGCGACCCCAGCAGCATCCACCCTCTGGAGCGATTTTTTCGCTTTGAAATACACTTTCTGCAGCGGGACTTGGGCATT